AAGAGAGAGTCTGAGTTATAGCACCATAGGAAGGAAGTGTAATTTAATAAGGTGGAAGAAAAACAGAAGGTTCCTTTTATGCCTTTGTGACACAGGGCTTATAAAGTTTATTTAGAGAGAGGCCAGATGCTGGAAACCAAAATCGCTGCCGTACAACAGGGAATGCCCACCGTATCCACGGATGAAACAAGTGCCACGCATTCGGGGCACACGGCACCCGTTTTATACCAGCCACCTCGTGCTCCTTCCTGACTGCAGCAGGGACATGACTCCAAGTCACCCGCTGTCACTTGAATTGCATTCGCATTTAAAAGAGAGAACTTGATCCAGAGCCTGGTGAAATTGGACGTGAGGGCGATGGCTACCATTTCCAAGGCATACAAGGTACAAAAGGTGCCTGTGCTTGTGGAACGGCCAATACGGTTTTATAGGTTGTAGATATGAGCAGCTATTTAACCAGTAGCGGGGACATAGGCTTGGACACTAATGGGGTAGGAAGAGTCGGAGGGGGGGGTGGTAACCATTAGCTGCACAGCCCCCAGAGGTGAGGGAGGTCTAACAACTATTATTGTGATAGCACCGACTGCCTCCAGCTCCACTACTGCTATCCATGAAGATTGGGACTATCAGTACGGGTGGTCATGATCACTTAATGGAGAGGCCAGAGTGCTAGCACGTGTTAATGAAGAGTAAAAAGGTGAAAATCCTAGAAAACAAGTTAACAGAGCCTAGAGAGAGAGCCTAGGACACCTGCTGTTAGCTATCTAGGTGTCTTCTAACACTCCCCATTATGGATCCAGTCACAGGTGACACATAGCGCATGCCACTCGAAGGAGCGTAGCCTTGTAGTAATTACCCAACCAGTTGTGCATTGCCCGCGTGTAAGACCAAGGCGTTCAAGCTTCAGACAGCCGTGCCAGCTGATCCGTCTGAACCGGTGCAAATGCCCGGATTCAGGAGCCTCTTCAAACCGTTGTTGCCTGATCTGCACGTCGGCAGACACACACCTGTGCTCAATTTTGCTGGTAACTGCCTGTCTGCCTCTGCCTTCTCCTGGTTTGAATCAGAGGCTGTAAATCTATTCATACCGAAAAGCTGTGATGGGTAATGCAGGTCTGAGGATAAAACCGTCTGTGATGGAGAGTCTCTGCTGGGCGAGAGAAATACTTTTCCTGTGAGACGATGTCTGCTCCTGGACAAAATCAGAAGGGCAAGCAGTAACCTAATCATTTGGTTCTGCAGGCTGAGTTGCTAGCTGCCTGCCTGTCACTTTATTTCCATTTATCTTCCGCTGCTGTTGGAAGTGTTCCCCCTTTTTTATTTTAAAAGCTGGGGCCTGGCAAAAAGATGCCATTGTGGTTCGGCAAAGTGCCTGGTCACTGAAGCCTCTCTCTGCTCTCGGCAACGTTTGACGTCCAAAATTTTGACTACCTCCTGCCCCTGGCGGGTTGCTGCTGCTCTGATCTTTGCACAGAGAAGCGACCCATGTGCTCCATTCTGATTCCTATGGAAAAGTAGCTTTAATTGAGCTGGAGCACTGGATGCTGGCGTCGGCAGATACCTATCGAAAGGTCCGCGTGGTCACAGCACTCAGTTGACCTAGTATGGCCCTGTCCTTGGCTTTGTCCAACCTACAGCTCACCTACTGCATGGCTCATTTAAGACTTTCTAAACATGCCTCTAGAGTTTTTATTGCCGGCATGACATTCCTTGCCTTTAGTGAGCATAGCGCTGCTCTTCCACTCGCCGCGTGCCGTTCGATCTTTTTTATGCCCAGCTTTTCAGGAACAGCTTGCAAGGAAAGCATGGTAGTTGTAGACGCCGGTAATGCGAGGCCCGTGTGATGTCCTGCGTTCCTGGCTGGGGAGTGAACCACGAGGGGTGTTTGGGAATGACCTCGAATGCTGCAGTCCCCGGAGCCAGTTGCATTAGCACGATCTGAAAAGCCCCTTGGGGCTATTGCTGGTAGCCTTTGCTGGGGCGCGCAGTCCAGCTGGTGCCAGGTTCTAAAGCCGGTTGCAACTTTTCATCTCGCTGGCAAAAAGTCATCGGGTTGCTTTAATTCAGACAGCTGGGATGGCACCAAACAATCTATGAACCCACCTGTTGAGTCCCCCGGCTTTGCACGAAGCAGTTGGCTTGCTGAAAGCCACTAACGGCTAAGGGTCCCCGCGGTGCCTTTGTGATCGTGTCAACGCTTTGTAGGCTGTGAGCAGAGATGGCTGGACACGGAGCGGATTGGAGGAAGGTACCTCGCGTGTCTCCCGGGGCCTCGGGCATACTGTCGGCTTTAGGGATGGCTGCGTTGCGGTGGTGGGGTGATTTAAAAGCTGCTTGTAGGACAGTACCAGCCCTGCACAAGCGGTGAGGGTAGGAACCATCGGATCAGAAGCACAAGGGGAAGTTAGGTAGTCATAAGGGAACTATATTAAATGAGTGGTACCACTTGAGTGCCTTAAAAAGTCCCCCTTGGTCTGCAGGGGTTTTCCTGTCCCTGCAGGGTGAATTCCATCGAGTAGCGCCGAGTTCCTGTTCGGTGAGCTTGTCGGCCTGTTTGTGGGGCAGAGCTGGGGCCTCCGGGCTCTGGGCACCTCCCTGGGTCAAACCTCCCAGGGGAATGCGTGCATGGGGGTGGAAACCAGCACCCGCCCCCCATCCAACAACTTAATGAGCTGCACTGTGACAAGCGGGCAGGGCAGGGCAGGGGACTCGTGAGTCAGGGCGCTTGGCTCCTCTTTCTGATATCGCTATTGCCTTCTCAGAGTGCAGCGCCCTTCTCCCCAGAGGTGGCTGTGCAGACCGCTGGCTTGCTCCGGGGCTTCTCCAGCACCTGGGAGGAGTTTTGAAGTCCGGCAGGGTTGTCCATTGCAGCGGTCATCTGCAGGAGCGTTCCCCTTACTCCCGTCAGGCGGCCGTTCGTGCACCGCAGCAGGTTCCTCTCGTGTCTCGAGCGTGCATGGGAGGAGGGACCGCAAAGGTTTTTCTCTGCAGCCAGAGCCCATTAGTTATTGTGATTTCATCTGTGCCCGGGGCATCTGGGCAGAATGGTAAGGAAGCCTGGTTCCTCCAGCCTGTGTGCTTGCAGCAGATTAGCAAAGCAGTTGTTAACAGGGGTTGAGCTGTGGTCCCAAGGAAAAAAAAAATGCAGCTTCCTCTTTTTTTCCTCCTCCCCCATGCTCTTTTTTTCGCGCGTGTCAGTGCTGTTTCACTTTGTCACGTTCAGTTGGCCTCCCCGTGCTCTTGACTGTAGCAGTGCCTAAGAAAAGCTTGAAAGAGGCCAAGCTACAGCTAACGGCGCTGTAAGTTTTGTCTTTTCTTCTGTGCCTCTTCCTTTTATCCTGGTGCAGGGGATCCATGCATCTGACAAGCCTTTGCAAGCACCTATGCATGTGTGACTACCCCTAGCTAGAAATTACACACGTGTGTGAGCACGAGCGAGCGAGAGAGAAGATGGTGGTGGGTGGTGGTCAGAGGCAGCATGTGAAGAAATGAGCTGGAGTAACTATATTTGATTGTTTTTTGAACCCAGATGTGCTGCAGGGTTGGGGTTTTTGGTTCTTTTTTTTAACGCATGGGATTTACTTCGGCAGTGGCAGCATCTTCCAAATCCAGGCGGCAGTGGAAACTTATGCTCGATTTATAATGAATCGTTACAAGCGGAGTAATGGTTAATGCCGCTTCAACAGCCGGTCAAAAAGGGCAGCATTCAGACATTAGTTGCTCTGGGTTGAAATCCTGATGGGGCCAAGGTTTAAAATCCTCTCTGAGTAAATGGTTTAAAGTGTCCATAAAAATCAACAACTTGAATAAATCTCTGGTTGGGGTGACAAGGAGCGCGTGGGTACTTTTGGCTGCAAAAGGCCGCAGAACATCCGACACGTTTGTGATGCAGGTGCTTGGCGTGCGGCAGTGTCTTCACTTGGGCTTGGCACCCGGTTTGCCTGTTAGTGCTCGACTATTTTATGGAGCAGCGGGGATGTGTGAAGCACTCGAAGCATCCTTTGGTTTTTAGTCTAGAGCTCCAGTCTTGCACACATGCCTGGGAGAGGTGCTGTGGAGCTGGGGGAACTGTTTTCTTACATAAAGTTCCCCCCCATGGGTGGGCATTTGCAGGATCGGCACTTCAGTCGGATGGACGCAAGCAGTGTGAGAGCGGTCAAAGGAGGACAGGGGAGGAAATGTTTGCAGGGGAGAGGAAGGAGGAGGGGAAAGAGGAGAGAGAGCTGTTGGCAGTAGCAGCTAAAGATGGCATGAAGCTTACTCCGTCTGTAGCACCGAAAGCACTAGGCTTTCAAATGGCTGTAGAGCAGAGGCTGGCCAGCGCACCCGTCTCAAGTGGCCTGTTACAAAATGGTTGCATCTTGCCTGTTCACCGGTGTTGTTTCTAATTAAGTTCGAAGGGACTCAAGGAATCGACTTTTTGTGCCACTTCCCTGGACCTCCCCAGAGCTCTTGGCTTTCCTGGCCCTCATCCTAAATTTTCTTTTCCTTCATTGCATTGCCCCCTGTGAAGGCAGCTGACTGCCTTCTGCGCTCGCTGAAGGCGATAGCAGAGCTCCCTTTCAGTGCCCTTGGAGCAGGGCTGCCCCCCAAGAAGACCTTTCTGCCTCTGAGGGAGGCTTTGTGGCTTTGATCCTGCAAGCAGCACTTTGGTAGAGTCTGCTGGACTCGACAGAGCTGCCTGCAGGTACCTGATCCCAGCCTTAAACAGGCTAATGTTTGAGGCGCTGCAGGTTGCGGCGATTAGAGCCATAGCAATGCCTATCGATAAATCAGCTGGAACAGCATCTGGCTAACCTTTCCTTGGGCTCACATGGGGTAGGAATGTCGTTCCACCTTAAAACCAACCAAGCAGAGCGTGACAAGCAGAAGAAAGTGCATTTGAGAAAAGTTAAGGCGGTCGGGGTTTGGAAACCATCTGCGGCTTGATGTTTTTCGGTTGTCTCGCTGGACTGTGGTTAGCTCAAGTTTTAATCTGCTGCTTTCCTGTTTCCTTGCAGTTGCAGCGTGATGCCTCTGGCTCATACACAATGAAGAGGAGCTTTTGGATTTCCTAGTTCTTCAAGGGGGAAGATTCAGAGGAGACTACCGGCGCATCTGCTGCTTCAACATGTCCGGGTCTACGCAGCCTGTGACCCCGAGCTGGAGGGCCGCGGAGCCGCGCTACCCCACTCACGCCATGTCCTACCCTGTTCAGATTGCTCGGCCACACGCGGTAAGACAGGCTGTTTCCATTTTCACCCTAGCTCCGTCCTGGAGCAGCTTTGCGTGGCCACGTGGTCTGGGGCAGTGATTCAGATTTGTCAGCTTCCGCTGATGCAGGCCGCCGTAGAGAATCAAAGCACACTTCCTTCTCTCATGGGATTTTGTTCTTTCCTCTCATAGTCTCAATTCTTCCCTCCATCTTCTCCATCCCTCCGTGCTCGCTTCCCTCTCTTCCACACCTCCTTCTGCCACCTGTCCCAGCGGCAGCTTGAGGCTCCAGTTGGTTGCTTGTACAAGCTTTGGTGGGTCTCCCTTTTTTCCCAGGGAAAACCAAACTGGTTAAATGCAACAAGAGCTGAGCGTTGGGAGTGGAGGGGAAGTGCGGTTAACCGCGTGCGTGGAGTTGGAGAGCTGTGCCTCCACCCCACTCTGCTTTGGCTTTTTTCGTGCATGCTGAATCAGGTGGCTAGCACCCTTCCCTGGATGCTCCCCAGCAAGCCTGGCCTTTGGTGCCCACATCTGTTGGAGGGCTCGTGTGCTTTCCACAGGGGAGGCAGATGGGCTGCTTTACCCTGCAGTCTGGCAGCCCGACCCCCTCTTTGTAGTGTTTGTCAAGCATGCTGCCTGTTTTAGTTTCAGAGGGGAATTCAAGGGCCCTTTCTCTTTATTTCTGGCTTGTCACTGTTGTCCCTTAGGTGAAAGGTCCTATCTCCCGTTAACCCAAAGAAGCAACTAAAGCAAGAAATGGTAAAAGCATTTAGCCAAAGGTGACTCAGCCCAGAATCAAGCTCTAGAGTAGTGGCTCTCAACCTTTTTAGACTCAAGGCAGCGCCCCTCGGAAAATGCCAGCTCTTAGTTTTCACTTGCTTTTTAATGACAGAAAAATGCTAGAGTGATTTATTTATTTATTTATTTATTTTTTCCTCTTCCCCTGTTGCAAAGAACTAAGAAGGGGCCGCAGCAGGTCCGAATGTTTTTAACTTCTTTGAAATCTCTGAGCTTATCTTATAGTTTCATAGTTGTTCGGGGCTGGAGGGGACCTTACAGATTGTCGCGTCCAGCCCCCCTGCATGTGGGCAGGAAAGACTGCCGGGTTCAAACGATCCCAGCAAGATAGCCGTTGAGATGTTTTTTGAAGATTGCCAGGGAGGATGACTTGTGAATCGTGTTTGCACACCTAGCAGTGCTGACGCTTAGTGGCAGTCCACAGCACCCCTGAAAGGGTCTCGCGGCACCTTGGTTGAGAGTCACTGCTGTAGATGCTTGGACCCGAGATCTCTGCTCAAACCACTGTGCCTTGGCATCAAAGCTCTTGCCGCCCTCCTTTAGCTCCCCAGCAAACTAGAAAGCAGTGCAGGCTGGTTGTATCACATGCAGGAAGACGGGCAGCATTTCTGCAATCAGCCCAGAGTGGCCGGGGTGTGGGGGAGAAGCTGGATTGTGTCCTGAAGAAATAGTTTCCGTGCAAAGCAGTTGCCCTTTTGGATCCGGGTTTGCTGGCAAAGCGGTTCTCCCTTAATCCTGTTATCCACAAGGCAGTGCTTTGCTTGATGTCTGGGAGCCAGCAAGGGTGAAGTTGTCTGAGTGCTGCCTCTCTCTTCTGTGCCAGGTCGCCCACACCCATGCTTGCTCATCCTGGCTGCTTGACTGTTTTTAGACTTAAGCCCTTAACAGGAAAGACTTTCCTTAGTGGACTGGCTTCAGTCGCTGCAAGCTGCTTAAACGAATCTTATTAGGTGCTGGAGCATGGAACATCATCGTAAGGCTGCTCTTCGGAGCCAGCGCCATGGTGTGTTACAGCAAGGTGTGTATGATGAATGTCAGTGCCTCGTCCCACGGATCGCTCCCGAACAGAGACCCCTTTGAACTGCAAAGTCCTTTGTGCCCGTGTTTACAGATCCTGCTCAAAAGCCTGTGTATCCGGGAAACGTCAGCGCGGGCCTGAAATGTCCTTATTAACACACCTGCCCCCCTCCCTGCCAACCCCTGGTTGCACTTCAGTGGAGCTGCCTGGGCAGCCACGTCGGGGTTTGGAAGGCTCTGTGCTAGCCCATGGAGTCGGGTGGGTGAAAGGGCAAGCTTTTGGTTGAATTACCTTGCCTGTACACGTTGCATGGGGCCCCTCGCCTGCCTGCGTTTACTTTGCACAAGGCGGCTTTTCATCCCAGGGAACCAAGAGACCTGTGTTCACCTGGTTCGGTTTTCCTGAGTCTTGCTCCGACAAGTGCGGCGTACGTGCAGTTTCGCAAGCACCCTCTGCCTGTTGGGATCAGGAAGCAAACGGACCTCAACGGGCAAATTCTTTCCGGCTTGCGACACGAGGAAGAAGACGGGCCTGGAGAAGTGGGGAGCGTGAGCCAGCATGTTGGAGAGCCTGATTCCAGCAGCTGTTCCACGCAGGGTTTTGGGAAAAGTGGGGGAGCTCAGGGCTTTTTGGTCTTCCAAGTTCTTGGCGTCACGAGAAGAAAGCAGAAGCGATCTGACCTGCAGTGAGCAGAACCGAACACCAGCGCGGGTGCCTGGGGCCTGCCCTCCTCGCCGGCTGGCAGGAATGCTGCATGCATTTCATCCTGTTCATGTTGTCGGAGTGGTTTTGCTGGCGTTGCTCTTATGTAAATGCTGGGTTTTTTTATTGCCCCATTAAATCTTCCTAAGGTACACAAGCCTTTTAGGTGGTTGGAAGCAGGGTGGGGAAAGGGGGACCTAACTTCAGGCAGCAGAAGTCCAAAAGGGTGGTTTCCTGCTCCATAAAATCAGAGCGATTCTCCCTCCCCACCCCCATGTTATCACACATACGGGGACCCCTGCCCAAGGCCCTGTGCAAGATGCCTGGCCTCCCGTTGAGAGGGTAGAAGGAGCACGGCTGCCTCTGCGGTCTGCTCCTTGTGCTTGGTCTTGCTTGGCCATTTTGCAGATGTCCTCTCTCGGCAGCACTGCCAGCTGTCACTTGGCCATGGCCATGGGGACAGAGCTGAACCCTGGTGGGATGGGTTGGGCGAGGAGATCCGACCGATTTTTGTTCTGAAGTTGATTTGCTGTTTTCATAGGACCCGCGGCATGGGATTTGCTTGCATGTCTCTGCCGGGTCACTCCCGTCATGGGACGCAGTTTGTGCTACTTTGGTAGGAAGCAGCCCAGGAAAGGAGGCGGGAAATTGTTCTGGGGCTTGAAGAAACTTTTCTTCATGAGAATAAACTTGAAAAAATGTATTTGGTTTCATTTGCACCCCCTCTAAGTCGAGGTGGGTGTGATGAAGGGCAGACCAAACTTGGAGAAGGCAGATGGGATGCTTCATTTTACCTTTTTTTTCCCCTTAATGTGAGGATGAGAGCCAGCGAGGAGAAAGGTGATGTATTTCTGAACTAACCACGTGACGTAGTTTTTGCCACGGGGCATAATTAAACTTCTGAAAGGCATTGCAGAAAGTGTTGCCGAAAAAGGTCTAGACTTTTAGACGGCTGACAAGAGTGTCGAGAGCCACGATGCTAAGGAACTTGGAAAAACAAAAAAAAAAGAGTTGGGGGGGCACACCTGCATTTTTTCGAAGGAACGTAAAGGCCTATAACGTCTCCAGCATGTGTACAGCTGTACATATCCTTAATGGAAAGCAGCAAAACCATTTCCAACAGCTGAATTCTACAATGGTGACTGATTTTTTTCTTTCCTTTTTTTTCTTTTGTTTCTAGACTAAACTGAGAGGGAAAGCAATGTTTCTCCATGTTAATCCTTAGCTGGAGCTGCCCAATATTGGGCTGTTTTGTCTGTTCCTGTCTTGCCCAGGCAATGAACAGAGGAATGGCTTATTGAATGTCCTGTGATCTTTAGCTCATGGTGAGCGAGACCATTAGGATGCACCAGAAGGTTAAGCTTAGGACTAAGTTCATGCTCTCTCTAAGGAAACCATATTCTGTTTGATCTGCTTACAGTCTGTATCTGCAGGTTGACTCGGTTCCCTTTTATAGCCTGGATCCATCTTTTCCTTTAAAGCTCCCTTTATGACCTGTGTTCACTGGGGCAAGAAGGGCCTCTCCTAGTACATTATCCAGTTTCCTGCTGTGTCTTCCTTAATGGTCATAATTCTCCCACCTGCGCCCTGATGCGTTGCGACTGTAGGACTGGCACAGGATGGGGGCTCGTGCCTGATGGTGCAAGTCAAGGGGAGTCCAGTAGTTTTGAGACACCAGGTCCCTGGATGCAGCATCTCTTAACTCAAGAGTATCCAGGATGGGGTGCATCAGAAGAAGTGTTATTTTTGACACGTGTGTGTATGTGCACGTGCATGCATGTCTGTGCCCATGCGAATGCAAGAAATCTCACTGCAGAACTGCTGGCTCAGCACATGCTTCCTACATGCTGCTCTGCCAGTGAATCTTGTCCTTTTATCTAGAGGGACCTCTTCTGCTGGGATATCCACATCCCGATGGAAACTGGAGCTAGTTGCATTTAAGCAAGCGCTAAGCTCCAGTGTTTCGAATAGGCAGCTGGATACCATCTCATCTCCTGTGCTGCCCTTCCTGCATGGCGTGTGGGCCCCTAACTATCTCTGCAGAGCTTCCTTGTTATGCTCCATCAAATCTCTCCTTTAAACCTTAGCTTTGCCGCCATGCCTACAAGCAACTGAACGGCGGTTTGGTGCCTGGTGTTTGGATCAGTAGCATCTTGTCTCTCTGTGCTCCTTGATGTGTCTGTTGTCTTACGCTTGGATTATAGGATGTCTGGGATAGCGACTTTCTCTTCCTGTGCTTGTGCAGCATCTGGAGTCCCGGGCTGTGCTGGCACTGCTAGGTATCAGTGTTGTACAAATGGGAAACAATAAAGAGCCTGGTTGGGATCTTGCAGTCCAAAGCAAATTTCCTGTTGACTTTTGTGAATGCAGGATTTTGTCCTTCATTTCCAAGCCTGGCCCTCCAGACAGTCTGTGTCTCCTCCTTGTCCCCAGGTTCATCTTTTGTGCAGCTGGAAATCCACAGCCCCGCCACAGTATTTCCAGCAAATTAGGTCATGAGCTCC